ATTGCCAGATCACTGTTTCCCAAACACACACACATAAACACACACATATCGAAATTGTATATATATATATATATATATATATATATATATATATATATATATATATATATATATGCAATTTTATATATATTATTTATATATTATATATGCAAGGTACTTATTGGAAAGCACTCAATATCAGTGATAGAGCAAAACATATTTAGTTGAATTGATTCGATTTTGTGACCCCGGGTTTCTCGCTATCGCAAATAGCCAGACAAACTTTGTTTCTATGGAATACAAACAAAGACAAAATACAAAATCGTTAGACAAGCAAAGTTTGTTTGTCTGACGATCGCAAATAGCGTTAAACCCAGGGTCACAAACTCACATCATATAATATATATATATATATATATATATATATATATATATATATATATATATATATATATATATATATATGTATTGGTGTGAGTTTGTGACCTGGGTTTCACGCTATTGCAAAATAGCATGAAACCAATGGTCAAAACTCACACCAATACAATTATATATATATATATATATATATATATATATATATAGATAGACAGACAGACAGACAGACAGACAGACAGACAGAGACATTCACACACATCACTGTTTCGTTGAATCACTTCATTGGGATTACTAATAAAAATTGATAAAGTTTGTACAGGGGTTTTATGGATTGATCAGATTACAGACCCCAAATTGGGGTACCTTTTCATTTCCTGGGGATTTTCGTTAGAGCTTGCTTAAACTTAGGTCTTGATTATATTTTCCCGTACTTGTCGAGGTTTATCCATCATTCGTTCTTCTTGGATCCTCTCAGCTTTGGGGTTATATTCCTTTGGGCAATTCTCACAAAATTTCTGCACGTTTTTAATATATGGTGACTTTACTATTTAAATTATTTGGATTATTGTCCTCATCTTTGTCGCTATATTTATTACAACGTTTCGGCCGTTGTACGCTCCGGCCTTCTTCAGTTGATTGGAATGCCGAATTGAACCCTTTTTTTCGTTCACTGGGGGAGACTGTTTTAGTTCCAATTGCCATGTTTTAATGGATGTCAGTTATCACCTGTTAATTCCCCTCTCCAAGTTCTCCACTGCCATAACCGGGTATTGAACTCACGCAGTTTGGGTCCTGTCACTGGATCTAACCAACGCTTTTATCCACTGTGCAATGTGTCCCGAATAATGTAAATAGTGTACATAATACCTCATCTCAGAAATATAGACAGATACTGAAAGGCCGATACATTGTAATAAATATGGCGACAAAGATGAGGACAATAGTCAGAATAATGTAAATAGTGTACATAATACCTCATCTCAGAAATATAGACAGATACTGAAAGGCCGAAACGTTGTGATAAATATGGCAACAAAGATGAGGACAATAGTCCAAATAATTTAAATAATGTACATAATACCTCATCTCAGAAATATAGACAGATACAGATGGTGGCTTTTTGGCATTTATAACTGTTTTCCCTATAAGACTTCGTAATGTCCATTTGGAATTTCTTATAACGTTTTTCTTATCGTCTTCTCTGTATATTCATTTGCTTCCAGTTCTTTTTTTGAATTGCTAAAATTCGCGGATTTTAACGATTTCTAACCATCTCTCATCACAATATCTTTATCAAAAAATCTTTAAAAAATAAATTATACTTTTCTGAAATTTTATTTGAGGAACATTAGTTAATTTAAAGTTTAATTAATCTGATTTGAAACATTAACAGAGAGGTAGGTATTTTTATTAGATGTAGACATCTCTACTGACAGACTGACTGCTGGAAATCTAATATCTAATTTTTTCTATGTGGGACATAACTGTAAAAAAATACTTGACAAATATAACGTGAGCGCCTTTTTATATAATTTCTAACCACCCAGCAATCATTAAAAATTAAGAACATATTCTCAGCAATCTAATATTTAATTTACTTTTAATTACTTTGGCATTAAATTTATTATAGTGACCGCTTTTTTTTCTGATAATGGGCGTCCCTATCTACAAAAATCGGCACGTTTATACACATTTCCAACAAAAAAAATAAAATAAATAAATACTGGGTGTCGCTGAAGTGTAATAATTTTTTCCATTTATGGTTAGTAAATATAGTTTTTACTTAATAACAATATCACATAACCCGTGCTAATTATTACAGAATTTTGAAAGATTTAAAATGTTATAAACAGTTCTAATTAAAATTTATTAAAAAATGAAAATAATTCTTGTAAAAATTTATTATTCATCGAAAGTTTTTTTTTCTTCTTAATAATATAGTGTCCATAATATATATTATTCATAAAAGCAATTAAAAGTTTTTCTAATTAAATAATATTGTAGCTTTATTTCATTTTTTTTTTATTTTACGATTCAGAGCTGATTTTCGGTAATTTGAGTCCTGTTTAAAAAAAAAAAATTGATGTTTTTATTCTCCAAGGAATTCTGTTCATAATTAATACAAATATTAAGCCGTACAAAAATGTATTTCGCGAAATTTCATAAAATTAAACAAGTGCAAGGTGGGCGGAGTAAAAGATATAAAAAAATGTTTTCACCAAAATTCTGGGTAAATGAAAATTTCTAAATTGATTTAATTTAATTTTTGACTAAGTACTAGACGTTTCATTAAAACCTGACAATTATTTATTTTTTTGCAAGAATTTCCAATGTGTTTTTCACTGTAAAATTTGCTGAAATTTTCTATACTAATTTATGATCCCTCGTTGACAAAAGAAAAACAAATTCTTTAACCAAAAAATATAATTTAATAATCAAAAAATCCTTTAGTCTTTCGTCTTAATAATAACATTAAAATTTTGAGTTTGGGGCAAGTCTGCTCATTTATACGTATTTTTTAGCGAATCTCTCGAGGTTCTTAAATATATAATTTATATGTTTATATTTTTATGACTTTAAAGGATATTTTTTAGTGGAGACTCATATTTCAATAGAAAAATATTTTAAACAATATACTTATTTTCGTCTGCCGGCCTGAAGATTCAAGAAATCTTATTAAAGAATAACAAGCATCCTCCAACAAGATTCGAACATGAACCACCGTTGCAGGAGAAATCATCGTTAGATGAGAATCCGGAAAATAAATATACTGTTTAAAATAAACGGACGTCTACTCAAATATTGGTATCCATTAAAAATAACATTTTGAGTTATAAAATTCTGTCGGATTAATAAATTAAAAAATCAACTGCTTCTTTGGAAATATATATTTATATACATGTATATAACCATACAGAAAATCAGGCAACAACCCAATGTAGATTAACAAAAATTCCAACCACACCGATTACGTATTGAAACAAATACACATTAAAAAGAATTTCAACAAATCCTTGTAGCCTAAAAATATTCCATGAAAGAAAAACCATTTGAGTCAGCCGTAACAAACAGCGGATATACAAAAAAAAACAGCAAAAAAAAAAAAAAGAAAAAAACGAAGTCAATTTTAAAAAAAGACAACAGAAAAAGAAACATAATTTGGTTCTCCCCACAACAATACAATAAAAAACAAAAATAGTGAAAATGTTCTTTAAAAGGTGCATACATGAATGTGCACGTGTGCATATGCACAAGCTATTAATACAGACATATGCACATAAATTCAAACAATAATGAATACAAATGTAATTATATATCTAACGACTAACGATTAATACTTAAGATATCACCAATCCAAATAAGAAAACGAAATAATAGCCCAGTGAAGATATATATATATATATATATATATATATATATATATATATATATATATATTACAATGAATAATTCATACACAAAGTAGATTAGTAAAGTTAATGATATAAAATGGCGAAATCCCTTCGCAAAATTTTTTTTAAAGGTACATTAACCTACAAATCACTCGATGAATTTTATGATCTTTTTTTTTAATTATAAGCTGTATAAGGTCTTTCTTTAATACGCAAGTACTTTCGACTGTCCATTCAATCATCTTCAGGCATGGAAATTATTTTGTTTTTGGTAAAATTCACGTGGCATCCGAAAGGAAAACATATAATGCGAATCGAAATTTTTTTTTTTTGTGGTGGTGGTGGTGGTGGTGGGGGAATGTGTTATTGATAACGAATACAAACTTTTGGAGCGTGCAGTCGCAACTCTAAGGGTGAATTTGTTTTGATAATTTAAGAGTGCGTTTTTTTTACTTATATGGCAATTCCTACAACAACAAAAATAGATAGATAGATAGATAGATAGATAGATAGATAGATGCAAACAGACTTAGATAGATAGATAGATAGATAGATGCGAACAGACTTAGATAGATAGATAGATCGATAGATAGATAGATAGATAGATCGATAGATAGATGTGAACAGACTTAGATAGATAGATAGATGCGAACAGACTTAGATAGATAGATAGATAGATAGATAGATAGATAGATAGATAGATAGATAGATAGATGTGAACAGACTTAGATAGATAGATAGATAGATAGATGTGAACAGACTTAGATAGATGTGAACAGACTTAGATAGATAGATAGATAGATGTGAACAGACTTAGATAGATAGATAGATAGATGTGAAAAGAGATAGATAGATAGATAGATAGATAGATAGATAGATAGATAGATTATGACGAAGGAACGCAATAATAATAGAAACATAGAAGAAACCATTTTGAAGCAATCAGATTCCCAACATCTGATTCTTACCAAAGGAAGAAAATATGAAGCACAAGAATTCCATGAGGATCCAATGATAAAAGAATATGACAAATGAAATATGCTAAGAACGGAATTCGGCTTTCTGTTTTTCTGGCCAGAATAATTCGCATTTCCGCATCAAGATGGCACGAAGGAAACATGGCGAGAATTTTTTTTTTTTTTTGCTTACATGCGTCATTGTTTCTATATTTTTCTGTTGTTATATTTTCTATTGATATTTTACCTTCAAAAGGTTTAGCCCAGAAGGAATCCTTACGATTATAATGGAGGCTTACGGTCATATCATATTGAAACACCGCTTCGTGTACGATCTCCGAAGTTAAGCAACGTCTAGCCCGGTCAGTACCTAGATTGGTGACCGCTTGCCAGGTGCTGCAAGCTTGAATGTTCGGGTGGGTATGGTTTACGGTCGTATCGCGTTGAAACGCCGATTCCTGTGCTATGATCGAGGTTAAGCAACATCGAGAATGGTCAGTAGTTTGGTGAGTGACCGCTTGGGGATACCCTGTGCTGCAAGCTTGAATGTTCGGGTGGTATGGCTAACGGTCGTATCACGTTGAAACGCCGCTTCTGTCACCGAAGTTAAGCAACGTCAAGAATGGTCAGTAGTTAGATGGGTGACCACTTGGGAAAACCAGGTTCTGTAAGCTTGAATGAGCGTGTGGAGTAATGGATAATGGTTCGGAATTTGAAATCGGAGAGGCGAGTTCCAGTTCCAACACTAGCTTGGGAAGAGATTTAAAAAGAATCTGAAGGAAAATCTGAATTCATTGCAAATAGATGCGCACTATGGGAAGAGCTGATTTTAAAGCGTGCAAAATGGAGTCCGTATATGAAGGAGGAATGTAACACCTTTGAAGATAAATGTTTCAAGTATGATCTCCGAAATGGAACTCACTCTGATTTGCCAACTAATATGCAGTCTTAGAAATGTGGAAAGTTTACGATTAATGTGAGGGTTGGAATAGTAGTTGACTGCCTTGTAGGTCCATATGTTCTCTCAGCATTTCTTGCAGGAGCTGCCTAAAGGGACATAATTACGAACACACTTCCAGACCTGCTAGAAGATGTAACCCTGCTAATACGAAGACGCATGTGGTTCACGCATGATGAGGCTCCAACACATTTCAGTCACATTGTTTGCGATGCACTATTTGACGTCTACCATGAAAGATGGATAAGCAGGGGATGCCTCTGTAGCCTGCACGTTCCCCCGAACTCAATCATTTGGATTTTTATCTGTGGAGCCACCTAAAACAATTGGTTTATGCAGCAGACATTAATAATGCAGAGACATTTCATCAACGTGCCATCAGAACCTGCGATCTGACAGGTGCATGCATGTGTAGAAGAAAACAGAGAACATTTTCAACATTTGTAATGAGTTGCTGTATTAAGGTACAGCGATGGGCTTTTAGACATATGTTTATATGGACATGTTATCTTGTTTTGGCGTCAGAAAGCGCCTCCAAAATTTATAAAAAGTATTTTTTGGTACATGCTATATATATATATATATATATATATATATATATATATATATATATATATATATATAGGCCACACTACAACATGCTTGACACGCAGACTCACTCTACACTTTTTCGGACCATAGCTCAATTAGATCTTATTTAAATATTCATGGAGACCTACCGGACAATATTCGTAACATACTTGTTGACAACACTAATATAATAGGATCATCTACATGCAACAAAAAAAACCTTAAAAATAATGGCAGCCTTATTAATAAAAACAAAAAAAAACAACACTTAATAACATTAACTTTGAACATAGACAATGTATTAATCGTATTTTGAGAATTGAAAACAATTTAAAAAACATACATACAACAAACAATTTATTATTTAAGAGTTAAAATTTTTAACCCTTCAAAATGGCTAAATGTATAGCCGAAAGCGCTCGCATAAAAAGAACATTCGGATAGTTTTTATATAATTTATCATCCGAAAAGAAAAAAATATAGATCGCATGAGAAATTGTATAAAAAACTAAACGGATTCTCCTCCAGTTCCTATCCCACGAACGCAGGTGTTCCTCAAGGCTCCATCCTAGGCCCCACTCTATTCCTTATCTACATAAATGACCTTCCTGACGCCATAAATTCCAAAGTTGACATCTACGCGGATGACACCACAATTTATTCCTGCCTCAAAAACAAATCTAGTGTCACGGATAAAACTAACCTGGCCGTGCGTCTCGATAAGGACCTCCAATCGGTTGTGAACTGGGGCAAGAATTGGCTGGTCAACTTCAACGCTTCTAAAACAAAGCTGCTCTCTAATAATCACCACAGATTCTCCATTAGAATGTCTGACGCTCAACTTCTCGAGAGCAACTCTCTGCGGCTGCTCGGTCTCACGTTGACTGCTGACCTGAGATGGAATAAATACATTGAGTCAATTGCTTCGTCCACCGCAAGGAAAGTTGGCTCCCTGTGCCGCGCTAGGAAATTTTTCTCGCCGGAATCGATCCTCCAGATCTACAAATCAACAATTCGCCCTTGCATGGAGTATTGTTGGCACATATGATCTGGTGCCCCTTCTGTTTGCCTCGGGGTTCTTGATAGGCTCCAGAGGCGGATATGCAATATAATTGGCCCTGCTCTGGCATCTCGTCTACAGTCGCTCTCTCACAGACGCGCCGTCGCCTCTCTCTGTCTGTTTTACAAATAGTTTCATGGCAATTGCTCCGAGGAGCTGCATTCGCTGGTTCCCAGACTTTATGAGTTCAAGCGTCCTACGAGGATGGCATCCCGCTCTCACCCCTTCACTGTCGAAACTCCTAAATGTCTCTTCTACTCCAATTACTTCATGTCTCGCACCTCTCGCCTTCCCTATTCCAGTTTCCCTGTGAGCTATAATCCCCAGCTATTCAAGTGTAATGTCAATCGACATCTCCAGTTGCCTTGATCTTTCCACTATCCACCTCCTCATTCGTTCTTCTATCATTCCTATCTGATCTTGATCTAAATTTTCTGTAACCCCTTGCGTCCTAGTGGCTTCCATAACTAAAAATATATATATATATATATATATATATATATATATATATATATATATATATATTTAAGTTATGAAGAATTATGTAAAACCGAATTGGTAAATCCAAGGAGGATGAAATCCTGAGAGCTCAATGTGAAGAACAGAGCTAATATTTAATGAACAACAGACCACTTTAAGGTACCATTACAATAAAAAAGGATTTTGGTGAAATAAATTATTGTAATGGTACCTTAAAGTGTCTGTTGTTCATATATATATATATATATATATATATATATATATATATATAGAGAGAGAGAGAGAGAGAGAGAGAGAGAGAAAGAGAGATTTAATGTGTGCGTGTGTGTCTGAATTTGTGAGTGGATCTACTTAAAATTCACGTTTACGCACAAGACTGGAAGTAAATCGATCTTATCTTAATTACTTACTAAAGTTCATAGCTGTCAAAACATATTTTAATGATGACTTGGTTAGAGAAGAATAATAAGCAATTTATTTAGTTACACACGAGGCCTAATACTCGGGAGGATTTTACAAGTTTGCAAGTTTAAATCAAAGCATGTATATGAACTACAATGAGCCTTGAAGCTGTAATTTTGAGGGGCGTGACGTTGTTTGGGTTAAATTTCAGATGCCGGACGTCGTTCACTCCCAATGTGAGGGACTTGACGTTGTTTGTGTCGAATTTGAGGAGCTTGACGTCGTTCGTTACCAATTTGGAAGTTCTGACTTTTTAAAAATTTTTTTGCTTCAGTTTGAGACGCCTAAAAGACGTCCGATGCCAGCTTGAGAAGCTAGACATTGTTTGTATCCAATCTGAGTATAATATCGTCGTTCGTCACGAATTTGAAGTGCTTGTTTTTCTTTATTTCTAATGTGTGTTTCTAAAAAGAAAGAAAGAAAAGTTAAGAGAAGTGATAACGTCATCGTGTGTTTAACATCAGCTTCAATGAAATGATATCGTAATATGAAATAAGCCAATCAGAAATGATTAGTTTCGGTAATAAAAATAATTAGCAAAAATCTAAGAATTTCTACAGGTCCCGCTTTACCTGATCAAAGAAAATAGGTGTCATAAAACCTATTGAAAAATGTATAGGCATTTAATGAATACTTACAATATAACCCCTTAAAATATAAAAACAATATATTAAATATATTTACCCTGGCCTCCCCACTGGGATGGGATATGACCCAAGGTCGGGTTTAATGTGGGGAACCCGAGTACGTACACTAGGGCCAAGAACAAAAATTCCCTGCACCTCCACAACCGTCGGTTGCGAGAATCTCTCTCTAGTGCTATGTGAGGGTGCAGCCTTGGACATCTGCCCCCCAGGGCTGGCCACCTTACAGTGTGATTTTCCACAGTTGCGCCTCTGTCCTCCGACGGCGCCAAAACTAAGTCGCACTCTGTCCGATGAGAGAGACGCAACTGAGGGATGATGAAACCTACCCGGCCTTGTGAACCGTAGAATCTCTATGGGTCCAGTTAATATGTATAATTCTAACAAATAAATTTATTTTTTATATATTTATATTTATTTTCAGAGTGTCCATTAGGATGGGAGCCATTTCAACTAAACTGTTACCAGTTTAATCTATATCCACCGCGAAATTACAAAGACGCATACGCATCGTGCCTGGTGAGTTGTTTTCCTCTATGTTTACTTAAGTAATTCTTAATACAAGTCGAACTTATGGATTAATCCCAGAACTTGACCTACGAAAAAAAAAAAAAAAATATATATATATAGTTCATATACAATGCTTCTGAAGGCACAATGTTACCAAGTTTTTGGTCGCAGTCCTGTTCGCTAATTCGGTCCTCAAAGAGGGCTTTGCTAGTATGACTTTTTAACACTAAACTCACCAAATAACTTGCAGTCTAAGTGAGAGATTGGTGTTGTTCTCACACTGTTTAAGATACACCAACTGAAGACAGAGCAGAGAAGTAAAAGTCTAGGATTTGATGGGTAACCTTCAAAATGTGTACTTGTAGACTTGGATATAAACCCGAACTACAAGCTCGTTAGGTAAGTTATCCATTGTATTTCTCAAACACTCTTGCCTACTGACATATTGCCAACTGTCAACCTGAATCATCCTTGCATTTTAGAACCTAGAGTAAAGTATAATACTGCACACATTTTCTATTATAAAACCTGACCTGAGATGGAACAATTACATTGAATCAATAGATACATCCACTGCAAGGAAAGTTGGTTCTCTGTGTCGCGACAGAAAGATTTACTCACCCGAGTCCATCCTTCAAATTTTTAAATCAACCTTTCGCCCTTGCATGGAATACTGTTGCCATATATAGTCTGGATCCCCCGCTGTTCGTCTCAAGGTCTTCAACAAAATCCAGAGACTAATATGCAATGAGATTGGTCCTGATCTGGCATCTCGTCTACAGTCACTTTCTCACAGACGTGACGTCGCTTCCCTCTGTCTTTTCTACAAAATACTTTCACGGTAACTGCTCCGACGAGCTATTTTCGCTAGTTCTCAAACTGCAGGAACTTAAACGTGCTACTAGGTTGGCATCTCAATCCCACGCTTTCAATGTAGAAACGGTTAAATGTAGCCGTATCTTCTTCTCCAATAGCTTCAGGTCTCGCACTTCCCGTCTGTGAAACTCCCTTCCTCTTACTTGCTTCCCTAGTTTAAAACACAATTATGCGTAACATTTTCGAAATAACTGTCAACCAGAATGTTGACTCCTTTTTTAGCAACTAGAGTTAACTAGAATATTTTCTATATTTCGAAGCTAGTCTTAACCAGAAAGATTCATCCCTTTTTCGAACCGTGGGAAAACGAAAATGGTGCTTATATTTTTCGAACCAAATGTCAACTAGAATGATTCCTCAATTTCTCTATGAGAAAACGAAAATGGTGCCTATAGTTTTCGAATCAAATGTCAATCAGAATGATTCTTCCCTTTTTCGAACCGTGTAAAAACAAAAACGGTGCCTATATTATTCGAATCTATTGTCAACCAGAATGAATCCTCCCTTTTTCGAACCGAGTGAAAACGAAAATGTTGACTATATTTTTCTAACAAAATGTCAACCAGAATGCTTCCTACTTTTTTCGAACCTAGTGCAAAAAATCTCTGCCCACTTTTTCGAACCTAATGTAAACCACATCATAACTAACTTTTTCGAATTGACTGTCAACCATAATAATAATGCCTTCTTTTTAGAACCTAATGAAAACTAGATAGTTGCCTACCTGTCAAAACAGAATGTTACATAACTTTTTCGAACCAACTGTCGACCAGAATGATGTTTTATTTTTTAGAACTTTGTGTAAACTGAAATTTTGCCTCATTTTTGTCGGACCTATTTTAAATTAAATGATATCTAAATTTTTCGAACCTAGCGTAAAACAGAATTATGCTTAACTTTTTCGAACCAACTATCAATGAGAATGATGCTTTCTTTATTTAGAATCTTGTTTAAACTAGATTGCTCTCTACCATTTTCGGATCTAGTGTAAATAAGAATGATTCTCTCATCCAGAATGATGCTTTGTTTTTTATAGGTAGGGTAAACTAGAATGCTGCGTACCTATTTTCAAATATCGTGTAAACCTGAATGATGCGTAATTTTTTCAAACCAACTTCCAATCAGAATTTTGCCTACTTTTTTTAGGACCTAATACAAACTACAATAATGCAAATCTATTTCGAACGTAGAGTAAAACTAAAATGATGGTTATTTTTTTTTCGAAGAATTACGCCTACTTTTTAGAAGATGTCTTAGACTATAATGCTGCCTAACTTTCTCGAATCTTGTGTAAACCAAAATGATGCCTCACTTTTCTGAACTGTCAACGAGGATGATTTTTTAGACACTCGTATAAACTAGAAGGCATCCTACCTTTTTGGATCTAGGATAAACCAGAATGATTTCTACCTTTTTCGTACGCAGCATAACCAGATCGATGCGTAACCTTTTAGAACCGTCTGTCAACAAGAATGATGTCTAATTTTTAGAACCTAGTATAAACTGGAATGTTGCCGACAATTTCGGAACCTTGTGTGAAGCAGTGTCATTCCTAATTTTTTCAATCTTAATGTGACTCCAAATTATGTCTTTTTCGACTCTAAAGTGGACTGGATCTATATTTACTGCACACAAATTTGTGACAAAAGAATGTTTTTCTTTTGAAACCGCTATTATTTTAAATTCCCAGACGACCCGGGCTTATTCTAAATACGAATATTTTTTTTTCATATTTATTTCGTTATGAATTGGTAAATGATGAATACTGCATTGCATTAACTTTAATAGAAATGTATATTTGCCTAAAAGCTAACGGAATGTAATATTTACTTTACTATACTTTACTTTGTTTTTGAGATTTCGATTTCAAGTCTCTTCTATTTTGATTGTAAATGTAAGTCTGGTTTAAAAAGTCATCTGTGCTCTCATGATCGGTGAGCCTGAAAGTTATATATATATATATATATATATATATATGTATCTTACTTATTATAAAACGCAGATTGTTTGTGTGTGTGTGTGTGTGTGTGTCTGTACGTTTATATATTGGATCGGATTTCCTACATTTTTCAACCGATTTCAACAAAACTTCACAGGACTACGTGAAATTACCTTGCGGTGGTTCTGACAGCGCCCAAAATTGGAAAAACACAATTGTTTTTGCACGAAATCAATTTGAATACACGATTCTGTCGCCAGAATGAAAGGGGGAGGACAACTCATATCGAGTTATACTTATTATAAAACCCATGTTGTTTGTATGTGTGTGTGTTCGTTTATATATGGGATCGGATTTCCTACATTTTTCAACCGATTTCAACAAAACTTCACTTTTTTTGGGCTAGTAGTGTTTCTTATTGTCTTGCACACTTTTTTCTTTATTTTTACATTCAGAATGCTTTAAAAATTTCATTTACAAGACAAGTGGTTATGATAATATTCTATTCAATCGATAGATTTATAACGATTGAAAACAATGTTTTTGTTTGAGTTTGGTTTTGACCAATTCGTAAAAAAAAAAAAAAAAACTAATTAAGACATGCGTGTCCGTCAACCTTAAACAATAATCTTTGTCAATTTTATTTTCCAGTCTTTATGATGGTCGATACTTGATCTATCTCTTACTGTTACATCCCCTGGCAACGCCGGGATCTACTGCTAGTATATATATAAAGAAATTTGTTATGGAGATGGTTTTCTTCTGCACCTGAAAAGTGGAGGATGAATGTCGACCTTCATGGCGAACGTCAGTTCATCAAGTTTGTAATCAGTTTGAAAAGGACAACGTAGAATATACTAAGGTTAAGCGCAATTTTCGTAAAGGAAATCTTGATGCGCTACCTTCCACTTACAAAATGTATTTAGTTTATGTGATAATTTTGCTCTTTCAATGGCAGGTCTTCAAAGTCACCTTAGGTCTCATCAGGGTCGATCCATTGAAAGAAGCCAGCAATCAATCCTTATGCTTTCTTTACACTCCGTTCTAAAGTGTGCAAGTCAGCTTCTAATTAAAAAGATGCATGAAAATTCACATTGATGCCATGCCTGTTGGGCTTCGTGATCTCCTTTTCAGGTGCAACATTTGCGCAAAAGCTTGTATAAGTTAGGCTGGTTTAAAATGTCATCTGTGCTCTCGTGATCGGTGATTCTAAAAGTTATATATAAAAAAATAATAATAATTGTTGTGAAGATGGTCTTCTATCAAGAAGTGATAATCAACATGAATGTTAAAATTGTCAGATCTGAAATATATCTTAATCTTTTGCAAGAGATTCTCCTTCTGACGTATAAATTGTTTGATGTCAGCTGTACAATAGACATAGATTCCCCCAATATTTTCAATAAGACTTTTTCGATGATTGTGATCTCGGTGCTTTCGATGTTATTATTATTACTTTTTGTACAGTTTTTCTTACCTTTTATTTTTGCCGCTTTTCTAATTGTAAACGTAAAATCTTTAGGTTTCACAATTTTCTGGGTGTGATTATTACTGTGATTATTAATTCTCGATTACTCTTTGCGGCTGTCATAGTTTTAAGTTCTCACAATTTCTAGGTGACGAATGGTTATTATTACATTTGTAAAAGGAGAGAGACATGGGAGAAAAAAATTATCCTCTCATTTGTAATTCCCCCGTTATGAGTATTATTAAATCCGTGATATAATAACGCTGCAAATCTCGGACGGAATGGAATGGCTGAAAAGAAAAATAATGACAAACATGTTTTTATACTACTAAGACATAGACCAAACTATATATATATATATATATATATATATATATATATATATATATATATATATATATATACGCGCAGATGAAAATATAGCATATGGTAAAGTACAGTGTAAGGGGAAATAAAATAGAAATGTCTTACATATAATATGGAGATACTCCTGTGTCTGGAGAAGACATTTTTAAGACTCCAGATTCAAACTGACCGGACAGGCCATGTCATATTCCAAGAACGGGAAGCAGCGAATTTTGGGTTATCATATATATATATATATATATATATTTCATGCACATTTCATTGAATACGACATGCAAGGTGCTTTTATTTAGATTTTATACAATTTCGCATGCGATCTAATAATTTCTTCTTTTCGGATGATAAATTATATAAAAACTG